CCTGACCTCAAGCTTGATTTGACAGATGAAGATAAAATCGCTTTAGATGAAGCAATCATCTTGGCTTGGACAAATGATGAGTTTGATGCCCTCTTAGATCTAGTTTCTTCGAGAGAAAGTCAGGAGGTCTACAATTATCAGCACTCATCCACTGGGCTAACTCCACTTATGGTTTTTAGTGGAAAAGGCAGGATCAGCGATGTCTGCATGCTCCTCTCATTTGGCGCAGACTGGACGTTAAAGTCTAAAGATGGTATGACAGCACTAGAATTGGCCGAAACAGAGAATCAACTAGAAGCTGCTCAAATAATCAGGGAGCATGCAGAAAATTCCCAGTCTAATTCTCAGCAAGCACAACAGTTACTTGATAAGTACATGGCGACAATCAACCCAGAGCAGGTCGATGTGAGTCTTATTCAGCAGTTAATGAGGAAAATCTGTGGCGATTCAGAAGATGGTGCCATTCTCGTGTTTCTACCTGGATGGGATGATATAAATAAAACAAGACAGAAGTTACTCGATAAACCTTTTTTTGCTGATAGTACTAAATTCGACATTATATGTCTTCACTCAATGGTTCCAGCAGGGGAACAGAAGAAAGTTTTTAATCGCCCCCCTCGAGGTTGTCGCAAAATTGTGCTTGCGACAAATATTGCCGAATCGGCAGTAACCATTGATGATGTGGTTTATGTGATAGATAGTGGCCGGATGAAGGAAAAGAGCTATGATCCTTATAATAATGTTTCAACCCTCCAATCTTCTTGGGTATCAAAAGCAAATGCAAAACAGCGTGAGGGTCGAGCAGGTCGCTGCCAGCCTGGCATTTGTTATCATCTCTATTCTAGACTTCGGGCAGCCTCTATGCCAGAGTTTAAAGTTCCCGAAATTAAGAGGATGCCGGTAGAAGAACTCTGCTTACAGGTACTGCTTATTTCATTTTATTTGTTGTTCCTAGCAATTGGCTCAATGAGGTGAGCCATTCGTGCATATGGAGTCTTTTACTGATCATTTCCCTTTGATAATATTTTCAGGTTAAGATACTCGATCCAAATTGTAAAACGAATGATTTCCTTCAGAAATTGTTGGACCCGCCTGTTGATCAAAGTATTGCAAACGCCTTGAGCATCCTACAAGACATTGGGGCGTTGACACCTGAGGAAGAGCTGACAGAACTTGGAGAGAAATTTGGTCATCTCCCAGTTCATCCTCTGATTAGCAAAATGCTTTTCTTCGCCGTGCTAGTAAACTGTCTGGATCCAGCACTTACCCTGGCATGTGCAGCCGACTACAAAGAACCGTTTACAATGCCTATGTCACCAATTGAAAGACAGAAAGCTGCTGCTGCAAAACTTGAACTTGCTTCACTTTGTGGAGGTGACAGTGATCATCTAGCGGTTGTTGCTGCCTTTGAGTGCTGGAAAAGCGCAAAAGAAAGAGGTCTTTCGGCAGAGTTTTGCTCTCAGTACTTTGTCTCCCCAAGTGCTATGAAGATGTTGGAACAAATGCGTAGCCAAGTTGAGTCAGAACTTAAAAGACACGGGGTTATTCCTAACGACATCTCAAGTTGCAGTCAGAATTCACGTGATCCCGGTATACTCCGTGCTGTTCTAGCTGTAGGATTGTATCCTATGGTGGGGAGACTATGCCCATCTATTGGTAATAATAGAAGATCCATAGTAGAGACTGCTAGTGGTGCCAAAGTTCGTGTGCATTCGCTGTCAAACAACTTCAACTTGTCATCGAGGAAGTATGATGGTTCTTTAGTTGTTTTCGATGAGATAACACGTGGAGATGGAGGCATGCACATAAGAAATTGTACTGTTGCTCGCAATCTTCCTTTGTTACTGGTGTCAACGGAGATAGCTGTAGCTCCTACTGAGAGCAG